CCTCCATGTTTTAAAACATTGGTCTGTTGATGGTCGATATATCTGGGCATATACTATATATATTAATTATGTTGTATTTCAGGATTTTATTGTTGAAATTTAAATGACCTAAGGGTTCTGAGCAGAGAGAGAAGAYAAATGAAAAGGGCCCCTTACAAGTTAACCATCAAGAAAAGAGAAGGGCCCCTTCATTTTCCTTTTTTTTTCTTTTCTTTCTATAATTACTCCCCCATATTAATTAGAACAAGAACTCCACCCATTAATCTTTTAGTTTTTTTCTTGCATTATTATCACTCTATATTTAGTAGTAAAAAGAACGTGGCCTTCTTTAGTTTTTAATATCTTTTTGACACACAATTCCTTTACAAAATACTTATCACATTGAGTGTCTTGGAGTGATGTGTGCTACACAAAAGAGTATGAGAGTGCTTGATTTAGAAATCTAGCAGGATCATAAAGCATAAATATGGTAATGTAAGGGACGGATTGGGTAAAAACTCTTTGTTCTGACTCCTATGGTGTCAATGTGTGGAACAAGGTTTAAAATGTCAATGCCAATGAAAATGTCAATGCCAATGGAAAAGTTGGTCATCCAAACATAGAAAATATGTYRAAAATGTTAGAAATATTGTAAAAMTTACAGACATGGTGGAAACATTGTGAAACATGCAAAAAYATAGAATGATACTTTGTGAAATGATAACAAGAAGATGGCAATCAAAATGAGTAAGTAGATTGTTGATTCAKAGTCCTTTGGGGGTTTGGTTCTTACTTTAGGTCTAGGGTGGGGTGGTTTTGTTTGCTTTGGGTATTATATGGGYTTTGGCTTTTGCTTGTTTGTTGTTCTTGTGTYGGTTCTTTTCGCTTTGTATGGGGTTTGGAATTTGAGGGTTGGACTTCTTGGGATGGTTTAGCATATTTGGGTGTTTTAAGCATTAGTYGGGCGTCCTTTGGGTGTTTTTCCTTTTCATTCGGGTGATTGCTTATCACCTTGTATCCTGTTTTTTGTTTTAATATAATTTTTTACTTATCATCAAGAGAGATGATAAAATAAGTGTAGACACACCTTTTTTAAATTATTATCTTGTTCTAAATCATCAAACCAAACTAAGAAACTAAGGTTATAGACAAAACAATATGCTATGGAGTTGTCCTGTATACCTTAAGAATCAAAGCCACGTGACAGAATGAGTTCAAACGAAAATTAAACTCAGAAAATGCAAATGGTTCTAATTGTTTAACCAAATAATCTATTAAACAAACAAAAACTAATATTTATCTTCATGTTTGAAAAGAATATTGAGATGGCTTAAAGGTGGTGATCATGTCCATTAGGTGGTCAATMACATTGCTACTCCACACATCTACGGTATTGTCACCAACTTATGTTATAATACTATCTCTTATACTCAATATAGTGCCAGTAGAGTTTATGGGGGAATATGTCAAATCAAGTAAATTCTGTGTCGGTACCCATGGAAATAGAAGCGTCATGGAAATATTCAGAAATTTTGGACATTTTAAAGCATGGTGTGGAAATGATCAAAGGAGAGATGAAGTTTAAAGATGTGTCCCAAAAGTGTTTCTTTTACATTAGGGAATGACCAAAATATCATGTTTTGGATCAGTGGTAGACTTGTTCATGGGCTGGGTAGCCCAGCGGGCTTGCTAGGCCTTCTTTATTGGGCTTGGACATTATTTAAGGCTTGTAGGCTCAGGCTCTAAATATCAGGCCCAATTACTTTTTGGGCCAGGCTCAAGGTTTCTCAAATAAGCCTAACCCGAGCCCGAGCCAAGCCCAATAAYATTATTATATATGGGCCAGGCTCAAGATTTCTAAATAAGCCTAGCCCGAGCCTAACCATGGTCCAATGATCACCCCTATTGACAGGTCACTTTTGGCACAGACTGACCTCAACCCAAAACCAACCAAGACCCAATTAAGGCTAATCAGACCCCAACCCAATATGGTCAGGTCAAGGCAGGTTTTCCACTTAATTGACCCACTAGCATCACTAGCCCTCAAAACAGTGTCCAATGGGAATGGTCCCTTGACCAATGTTTTAAAAGCGCAAGGCGCAAGGACCAATTTGCCCCGAGGTGCAAGGCGCAAGGCGAGGTGCATGCCTTTTTGAAACAAGGAGCAAAAATACAAAAAAAAA